TTTAGCTATTTGCTTATTTATTCCTAACAGCAGTACGACAGAACAGTCTCCCAGGGCACTGATGAAATGTTGTCACCAAATGGAAGAAAAGCTTCCATGCAGTCATCTCTACATAATGTGTTAAACCACCTCTCCCCAAGAACATTCACCTTCAAGCCCCACAAACAAATCTTGAAGAAAGAAGCATTTTGTGCCTAGACTAGATCAAATAGAAATTATCTTTTATTTAATAAAAACCCAACAACAATGCTGTAGAATGGGCAGATGTTGTTATTTCTTTCTACAAGTCATTAAATTGTACACCATGCCTATGGCAATACTCCCAGTTCAGGGAAAAATGAATGTAATTGACCTGCAAAACACATCCTGATATCAATCCAACCATCAGTCCTTGCCTGCTTTCACTGTATTATAAGATACAATGCAAGCAAACAATAGATTCTCCCTTTATTTCACTCCTCCTCTATGTCAGACACTCTGTCTTGATATCCAGGGTTTATTTTGCATGTGAGGCACGTTTTATTATAGAAGTCCTTTTTGGAAATATTGCTAGAACCTCTTTATTCTGCAGTCTAATACAACCACTACTAAAGTAGTGTTCGTGCTACTTCAAGAGGCAATGATCCTGTAAAAAGGAGAATGGTGGAAGTGGACCACACTCCCAGGGAATACAGTAAAATATCAATAATCCTTTGCAAATTCCTTGTCTTATGGTATCAAGCATTCATCCTTAGCAACAACCGCATAGCTAAAGACACACTGAATCTGGCCTAAACCTGCAAGCTTCTTAAATTACACTTTCAAGTAAACATACAGAAAACTTGGCAGAAGAATTTTGCATTTCCCTTTATTTCCCCCTCAGAAAAGCAGGACTTGGTGGGTAGTCTTAGATCACAACAGTGGCTGTTTCTTAACTTCCTCCTTATGGATAAAAACACTTATGCCAGGAACAGACTCAGAAAGCCACTCTACTGCCAGAGGGAGGATGGAAAACACTCAGGATTCATCAGTGAATGGGGAGAAATCTGAAGGTACAAATGCCTCTTCTGTGGAGAAGAAAATCCTTTTCAAAATCTTCTAAAGAGAAGAAGTCAGTGCTCTTCAATATCTTCAATCAAGTGTAGGACTTTTCTTCCTCCATAGAGTATTCCCAAATTTTGCTACTATTTTAGACAAGTCTTTATCCTCTGTTGTAATACCTAGGCATCCCTGCCATCTTCTTCTCTGAATTTTGACTTAATTTTCTACAGAACTGAGCTCCAGGTTTCTTCCCAATTCTTGTCCTTCTATTTGGTGTGCCTTTTTAGCCTTTGCTAAGTATATATTGATAATGTAACACATTTGCCTTGTTCAGAATTTCAGAAACCTATGACAATCACACCTCAGTTAAGTTCACCTTGTAACTGCTGGCTAAAACAAAAATATATTCATTGTCTCTATCTCCACCAAGAACTAACTCAGTGATTACATAGAAAAAAAAGAGAAACCTCTGCATAATCTTTATCTCTTGTACAATTTTCTTTGAATGGCAAACCCCCCAAATATAAATTCTCTTGATTTGTGTCCTGTCTTTAGAAGTCTGATTAGCTCATTTGGCTTAAGCTCTAATTGTCAGACAGACCAATGCTTCAGAGTTTGTAAATATGCTTGCAAGCTGCATATTTGTAGGTAGGTTCTTACCTAATAACATACAGTTCATTATTGGAGAGATCAAAATTCTCTGAAATTAATAGAGACCTTTAATCTAGATTTTCTCTCTCAAACCTGCAGCAACTTGTGCCCTCAGGCTTTGCCACCATACCTGACAATTCAGCATTCTCCCTGTGAATTTATGACAAGGATCTGAACAGAAGTGCAAATCTATAATGAAGCTTGAAATGGTAAAAAATTTAAATTAAAAAATAGAAACTGAGGGAGTCTCACATATAACTTCTGGGAAATGTTCCCATCTAGACAAGATAATGGGCAGTCTAAGAAAACAAATTACTGTAAAATTTGATGGGAAATTAATTTAGAAATGGATGAGTTCAAAACTACATACAGTATGTATGCTAATTACCCTAAATACAAAAACTAAACTGTTATACTTAATTTTGAATTTAAATGTATTGAAAAGAGTAATTTAACGCCTAAGCAGAAAGTTATCCCTTTGAAAATAATGCAGAGTAGGTAAGAAGGAACAGCATTTATTTTTAGTGACAAACACAACATTTTAAAATACACATTAAAAAAAAATCACTGTAATTCTATAAAGTTTGATCAGCTGAAAAATAGGTGTGTGTTCTTCTCTTAAAGAAGTGTGCAATATTCCTCTTGTGACCAATCTTTTGAGGACTACCTGGATACCAAAATATCAAAAACTCATTCTGCAAGATACACAGTGAAGATCTGGCCTCAGGACATCTGCATGCAGAAACTCATTCATTAAAAAAAAAAATTAAGGAAAACTGCTACTAGAGTAAGTATGCAAGTAGACCACACTGCATGCAACTCATTCCCTGAGAGGAGAGAAAGGACAATGGTGTGACAAGAGAGACTGCCCTCAAAAGCCTCCTCTTTAGGCATGAAACTTATTCATGGAATCATGGGATTCCATCTCATCTCCCTGTGCTGTCAGGTAGCAACAAGACCTCTCTGTCTGCTTTGAACAGCAAATCACAAGGGCTAAAGGGATGAACACTGGTTTGACTGACTTTTGTACCTTTGCTTTTTATTTTATGGATTAAGCTATCTCCCAGCTTGAAGAAGAATGAAAGAATAATGGAAAAGGCAAAAATGTGGAAGAGAGGGCAAAAAAATCTGATGTGTTTCCACTAAGGGCAAATACAGTCACCAGCTGGGAACTCCAGACCAGATGTAAACAGCAGAAAGTCATGAAAAAAGGCAAAATGAATGTGGAGGTCTTCAAAACAGTACTGGTTTTTGTTTTTTCTCTGATTTGGGGATGACAGATGTCTGTCATACATTTATGATGATTTGTGACAAGAAGACTCACATTAATCTTTTGTGTGCTACTCTGGCTGCTTGATTAATTCTTTGTAAGCCAGTAAGAGCGTGGCTTACAGGCATTCAAAAACCAGACAGACCTAGAAACTTTATGGATTAATCTGTTATTTAGTCCATTTGCTTTAACAATTTCAAAAGGAATTGAATAAAAAATGCTTTTGTGCTTTTCAAATATGACTCTACACTTCTCATTAAATTCTTAGAAGTGTCTCATAAAAACCTTTGCTATATGAAGACATAATACCTCCTCGTGTTCATGATCCACTGCAAGGACAAATCCATGACTATAGCAACAGCCCTGCACAGGGGCCTTAAAAAACATTTAGTTCAAGAGAGGTCAGCAAAAGGAGGGCTGGATGCTGCTTCTTCAAAGAGCAATTTATAAAAATCACATAGGTCAAAAAGCCTACATGGTGCCAGAAGGGTATTCACTAGTATTGCCTTTTGTACAAATTGTACAAATATTTGGTTTTAAGAATGATCTATGGATACATTTCTTTTTATTTTGAAAAGATTATTCTGCTGCAGCAGCAGTTTCCAGTTTCTAATAAAAACTCCTGTCCTGCTCATGAACACCATTCTGTCAAGTTTATAGCCCAAATCTATCAGAGTACTTCAGCAGGTCTGCAAAGATCCCAAGCTGAGAACTGCCACTTCCACAGCTTTTCCATCTTTGGCTCAGATGTTCAGCTGTAAGAGCAGAAGTCAATACACTTTATCCTAGTTAAGGATCTCATACAAGGAACCATAGAAATCCTAATTATTGCTCATATAAGGATCAGCTTTTCAGTTTTAAGTTTTCATACATCGCTGCTGATTTCAGCAAGCTATTACAACTGTTAGAAGCTGAAGATTTTTCTCTTGTTTCTGGTTTTAAAATAAAAAGCTTAAACATCTTCTGAAACATGTTACAGCAAAACTGAATCATAATTTTTTTGGTAAAAGAATGTTAAATAATGCAGAGCCATCTTAACTGGGGCACTTGAACTGAAAGAAAAAATTAGAAATAAAATAGTCATTTAAGCAAATTTTAAAAGTTTATATAAATGCATTAGGATGTGCTGTAAAATACATAATTTAGATTTCTTTGGATGAGAGTTACACAATAGACATCAGATCATTCAAAAGGGATCATGAAGTGAACATGCATGGTCTTGCAGTATGTGCTATTAGTGTTGTAAACACCAGTTCTCACATCTTATTTAGTGTGAGCAGGCTCACATATTTGTTACCTTTGATGATAACTTTGTTATCATCCCAGGTGAACGTGCCCAGATTGGCTCATTTCTTCTGATGAACCAAATTACTGCTGTAACCAGTAATCTTCTCGTCTCTAGACCCCTTCTGCAGAGGCCAGTCACCCCCACAAGTCCTTTTCTAAGACAGCTCCTTTGATGCTGAATCTCCATAGATGGCCTGTATAGCACCTGCCTTACCACTGACATCCTTCAAATGAGCTCTGCAGCCTGACCTCTCTTTTCCCCTGTCCAACGCGTCCCCCCTCTTCTGCACTGGGAGTGAACAGAACTAACACATACACTGGACATGGGACAAATCCATTTCTTAAGTATTTCCCCAGCATCTGATTGCTGTTTTGGAGAACATCTGGTGTGAAATCAGATGGAAGAGCTACAGGTAACTAAGAAGCACAGAAAATGTACAGAAGTGCTGTGTGTAAACACTAGGAGCCTTCCTGAAGAATTTGCATACCTTCCTCTAAGTGATAGAGTGTGAAATTGTTGTATAAAAATCCCAGTGTTTGAAATGCACGAAACATAAAGAGGAAGAAGGTATATTAGAAGCTGCACAAGCTATTGGAAACAATTATTATTCTGCTCTCTCCAGCAATACTGTCATTCTGATTGAAGTGCAATTCTTTGAAGTGTCACTGATTACCTTAAAAATGCACACTGCCTCTTTCACACACAAGTATTTATTGAGCCACCACGGATGACAGATCAGGTGCTGAGCATGAGATGCCAGATAATACTCACAGAAACTGCCTCCAGGATTTGTTTGACAGCATCAGCAGCATCTCGTTCACTGTAATACCCCTTTTCCACAATCCTACAGAAAAAAGCAATACAATTAAACATTAAGGTAAATAAAGAGTGAAGGTAGACGCTTCTTTCCAAAAATGAGATAGCAAGCAATCAAATTTAAATATGACCAGGACAGTGGAGTGTCTCCAAGAGACTAGAAAACAACCCATTTGCAATTTAAGTTACCTTTGATTTCCAGTTAAATGAAAGACAAGAGGTAAAATATCAACTGGACAAGATGTTTATAGTATATCTACACATTCAGTTCAAAGTTTTTAAAACTTTCTGACACTCAAGGAATCAGAATTACTGAAGGACAAAACTATTCAACATTTAGGAACTGATTTTTCATTTTCATATTTAACTTAAGCCCCTCCCTCCCCAGTTATTTAGTTAATTAGATAGATACTAAGACATTAAACAAAAGCACTATGCTATGTACACACAGATATGAATTATTCAGGAGAAGAAGTTGGCATAAAAGTTTACTAGTTTCAAATTATCCCTCAAGTGTGACGGGCTAAACAACTGTCTTTTTTTACCCTGTCAGTAGAAAACTATATGCAAAGAAATACAGGGTTTTTTCAATTAAAGCTATGTTTTTCTTTCAGAAAAGCTACTTTTTCTTACAGAATCAGTAGACACAGATTTGCACAATGACATACAAGCAGTTAAGAAGTATCTATCATTAAGATATCATAATACTCTATTTAAGACACTAAACAGTCTTTTTACTAACATTTTAAACCGAGCATAGTATTTGTGAACTACAGTAATTCTCCCTCAGAGAGTTACCTTAAAGGTCAGATTTTTGATCTGAAGTCTTGATATTTTTACTGTATTAATTTTTCAAAGCCTAAGAAAACATAGACAGATATTGCCTAGAAACAGAACCTGTGGTGCCTACAAGACATTTTATAAAATGATGTTCTGCAAGCAGACAAGCCAGTTTTATAAACCAATATCCTAAAATCCCCATGAAGCAGTACAGCAAGGAACCTTTAATGTCAGAAGACACTGGAAAGACCTTCTGCCCCAAGATCCATAAAAATATGTGATATAAAATATGAAAAGGCTCTGCTGGTGGCAGGAAGGCTATCCTTCTTTCTCCCCACTGCTCCTGCTTTGCAGGAACTTTTTATCACTTCTTTTACTGAAGTAACAGATTCATGTTGAGTTACCATCAGCGCAGCTCCTCACAACTTCACAAAACTGAGAGGAAAGGTGTGACTAATGTACATATGAAAATCATTGTTTTATACTCATTAGAGGATCAAGTGATTAGAAGTAAGAAACAATGCAAAGATAGCACTCCACACCAGAAAGAGAGGCAACAGGCATGACACTGTGGAAAGCCTGGATATTCCACAGGGATATTCCTAATCAGCTGCAATTACTTTACCTTCACACTCGTTGCGTTCACAGAGAGCTGAGTCTATTCATGTGGCAGCAGTAACAGCAAGTAATCCCTCTAAAGCAGTTCTTCTATTTCATCATTATTTCTTTGCTGCCTAATTGGTTAGGATTATTTCTAGAAGGTTGTTTGGTTTGGGTTCTTTGGGTTTTTCGGCAACCCTTTAGCTGTCATGCCATATGCACAGCTTTAACACCTTTGGTTTTTTTGTGCCTTCAGTCCTTCTCCTGTTCTGGTCATCTGTTTACACCATTAGGGAGAGCTTTACTGGAACTTATCACCATAAGGGGAAAACAAAGCAAATCTTACTCACTTATGTTATTATATTAGGCTTACATTATATTAGGCTTTTAGCCTAAAGTATAGGGAAGAGTTTACAAAAACCTAGAAATTATGCAATAAAATGCTACATTATACTTGAAGGCTAGATTATTCTTCAGCCATTTCAGACTGAATTATCCTCTTCTGTTAGATTACATTGTGAGACCTGAGCCCCAGTGATGCTCTTGCTTAGTTATTCATTCCCCTGTATACACTGGCTTTGCTTTCTCCTCCTTTTTAATTCAAATTAAGTATTTTGTTTCAGCCAGGTATTCATATGTTTCAGCCTGTCGGCAGCACCCACCCTGCCCCAAGCACTGAATCCACCAGGTGCAGGATACCCTTGTGAACCTGACCTCAGAAATGCATGAGGCAGGTTCTAGGGCTTAAAGAGTATTTAGAAAACTCTGTTTTTCCAATATATCTCAGAATAAGATCACAGAAATATGAGGTAATGCAGTTACAATTCAATTTACATTTCTCCCTAAATAAAAAAAAAATTCTCTTTCTACAGTGTGGTAGCTTAGTCTTTGTTCTATCTTTTGAAACACATAAACCAGGGGAATGAAAAAAAAAAAAAACCCAAAAAAAAACAACCATTAAAGGCAGTCTATGGCTTTGTTTTTAACTCTACTCACCAAAATCAAAGAAAAGAGGAGCTTCCTGTAAATGCTTAGCCAATGCTAATTACCAGACCACTGGACACAAGGGACAAATCAGAGACACTCAAGACTGCCCCTTGACCTCAAGATGAGTTCACATTGACTTAGACAATATATGCTGATAAGGATAGCACACTGCTCTCATTATTTACATTAAATACATAGCAGAAGAAGCACACAGACCTTGTAGGTGAAGATTTGTAATTTACACTTTAAAATAAATATATGTGATGAAGTGTGGGCCCGTGTTTCTGGAAAGCAATAAAAAACAACTGTAGAAATATTGGGCAATGTACTGGGCCCACCTGCTAATGCTACAGGTGAATAACATGCACTGGCAAGCCAATTACAGATTATGTCATATTGAGTTAACTTTCCAGTTTTCCAGAAGTCTAGAATTCAGACATACTGAGAATAGAAAACTTACTCTTATTCAATAATAATTTAGCAAATAGAAAACCTAATATTTTGTGATGGCAATAAATGAAAAAAGACATATTCTACCCTTTCTACAGATGAACATTCATTTATAAGGGTACTCTGATTTAGAACTAAAACCTGTCTATAAGGCAGTAAGGAGGAGTATTGAAATGCTATCCTGCAGTTTAGGTCATACAGTAATGCTGGGGGATCATTTGTGCCTTTATTTTTTGCATCCTCCCTGCAATAGTTTACACAAGACAAATGATAGGTGTGCCAGCAAGACTCCTACCTGAGACCAAGTGTGCCAGCAAGACTCCTACCTGAGACCAATGAGTCTTCCTTAAAAGGATTCTTCAGATTCAGACTGTAGATTAACAATGACTCATTGCCCTTTTTTCTATAATGGGAAGGAAACCTGCAGAATACCTTATTTCACCATTATTGAAGCAAATCCCAACTATTTATTACAGGATGATCTTTGACAAAACTGTGTGTAAAGGAAGATTAAGCCTTTGGTGAGAGGAAAGAGAAAGACAGGAACAGCAGCAATAAGGAACTAATTAAATATTCTCTTTGATATGCAAATGAAAGAGCCAGGTAGGCCAAGAGAGTGCTGGAGAGAAAAACTGAGGAAGACAGCAGGGAATCCAGAACTGCTTGAAACCAGAAAAAATGCTTGGGAAAACACTTAATTTGGTGCTGCAAGCATCCAGGAAATTTAATATGCAACTTCAAAATGAAGACACTCTAGACTGAGCAAAAATGCAATGCCAATTTGTGTAGGATTCCTTTTTCACAGTTATGCATACACATTTATTGAATTATGCTGATTAAATTGTTTGCACCTTTATATGTCAAGACACACATTTAGCAGAGTGTTTACTAGATGGACAGCAAGTCAGAGCTCTCCCAAAGCACCACCTGACTCAATCTTGTCTTTTCAAGCACACATCACCTTATTTGAGACAAATCTGCCTCCTTCGGTAGAGAGGAGCAGGGAAATACTTCTCAGGGCCCCTACTCACCTCCCTCTCCCAGTGCCAGCAGAGATTAAGATGTCCTTTGGGAGCAGCCCCAGTCCCATGGTGCTGAGAGATATCCCTGCCTGCCTGCATGGCCCAGGACCCCTCAGAAATCTGTGTTATCACACTCCCTCAGCTGCTGCTGCCCAGAGGTGGAAGAGCCTTGCCAGGTAACAAGGCTATGACAGATTTAGCAGTGAGAAAAACCACCCTCAGCGTCACAGTGCCCAGCAACCATGGGGAAATGGCATAATCCATTTCTGGGGATGTATGCTCTCCTACAGTTGATATTTTGGCAGCTTCCATCACCAAACACATGTATGTGTTCAAGTGTTTCATAATTTGCAGTAATCTTTGCCAGACTCCAACCGGCCTTTCCAGCATTTCTGTTCCTTGTGAGCACTCAAAGTTCTCTTGCAGTATAAATTCTTTAGTTTTGCAGATGGTTTTCAGTGTAGCCTCTGTACCATGGATTTGCAGCTCTTGCTACTTTTTTTATAATATTTCCATGTTGCACATCTTCATTAGAGTCTACATCTGCAGATGCATAAACTCTTACCAGCATTCACCACACCCCTGAAACCAGCAGTGTAATTTGGGAAGACCATGTAATGGATTTCACTCCTTTTGGGGCATTCTTCCTGGTGCTATGCTTTAATTCACTGTTTTGGTGTGAAGCCATGGAAAGCAGTGGGCCACCCCAGTAAAGGGAGGGAGGTCGTGGCCACACCTGCTCTGCAGAAACCTTACTTCTGGCAGGGGTGAAAGAGGAAGAGTGCATTCCTGCTAAGATAAACATATGGGACATGAAAATCAATGAGAAAATAGATGGGGAATCTCAATGCATCATTTTAGGATCCATTTTCAGAGGAGTATTAAAATTATATTGATATACAATTTTGCACTTGACTAGAACATGTTTCTGGGGATTAAGAACAAGCACATCAGGCAAGTGAAAATAATCTGTCTCCTACAAGAACAAACAAGTGAACATTTTATCAGAGGAGGAAAGGACTAGGCTTGGGGTTTGGTTTTTCAAAGAGTAACAAAACAGGGCACCAGTTCTTCCCAAGTCCAGCAACAGAAAGAGAGCTTGCACAGCTGCACTGGTAGAAAAAAGAAATCAAACCCACCCAGAAACCTGCTTTGAGCAAGGAGGACTCATCCAACGCCAGAGGATGCT